TATTAGAAAAATTGAACGTACTCAGGAGGCCGAGGCAGGGGACATCATTTGAACCTGGGAGGTGGAGGTTGCAGTGAGGGGATATCACGCCACTGCACTCCAGCTGGTGACAAAGCGCACAGACTCTGTTGAAAGAAACGAGAGAGAAAGAGAGCAGAGAAGAGAGGGCGGGAGGAGTAGGAAAGAAAGGAAGGCAGGAGAAAGAGAGCAGAGAGAGAGCAGACAAGAGGGGAGAAGAAGAGGGGAGAAGGAGAGACGAGGGAAGAGAAGGAGAAGAGAGCGCGCGAGACAGAAAAGAAAGAAAAGAAGAAAAGAAAAGAAAAAGGAAGAAAGAGGGAGAGGGAGAGGAAGAAAAGAAAAAGGAAGAAAGAAAGAAGAAAAAGGAAAAGAACACAGTAAGCAAAAATATAGGTAGATACAATAGATCTTCCTTATCCTCTTGAGCCTTCTGAATTATGTTGACAGTTGGAGCAAAAATTGTAATAATGTTTAATATGGTCTTGAATGTATGTAGAGAAAATATTTAAGACAATTTTGTTATAAATAGGGAAGGGAAAGGGACATAAAAAGAGGTAAGCCTCCTACACTTCATGTGAAACTTGTGAAATGATGACACTAACAGACATTTGTGTGTGTGATAAGATGCGTGTGTGTGTTGGGGTGAGTGGGTATGAGGTAATACCTAAAGCAACTACTAAGACTCAAAACATTATAGACTAATAGACTCAAAACACTATTGGAAAATCAAAGAGAAATTTTACAAAAGGTTCAAGCAGCCTGCATTTTGAACAGGAAAAAGGGAAAAGAAAATTGAGAAATAAAAGTTAGAGAGAAAATACAGCAAAATATATAATGGCAGACTTAAACTTTAATGTATCAATAATCATATTAAATGCAAATAATATAGTTTAAAATAAATGGTTAAGAATAAAAGGATGGAGGTGCTGGATCTGTTGCCACCAAGTCCGGATCCCATTGCCGCGTGCCCGCAGTGCTTGCCTGACATGCATTCCCAATTCCTTTTGGTTCCAAGTCCAGTGTTGCAACTCTCAAGGATCAGCTGATTCATAATCTTCTAAAACAACAACAGATCCCCCCCATTAACATTACATTTGTTGGGGTTAGTGCTGTTGGCATGGTCTGTGCCATCAGTATCTTGATGAAGGACTTGGCAGATGAACTTGCTCTTGTTGATGTCATGGAAGACAAATTGAAGGGAGAGATGACGGATCTCCAACATGGCAGCCTTTTCCTTAGAACACCAAAGATTATCTCTGGCAAAGACCATAATGTAACTGCAAACTCCAAGCTGGTCATTATCACGTCTGGGGCACGTCAGCAAGAGGGAGAAAGCCATCTTAATTTGGACCAGCATAACATGAACATCTTTAAATTCATCATTCCTAATGTTGTAAAATACAGCCCAAACTGCAAGTTGCTTATTGTTTCAAATCCAGTGAATATCTTGACCTATGTGGCTTGGAAGATAAGTGGCTTTCCCAAAAAACGTGTTATTGGAAGTGGTTGCAATCTGGATTCAGCCGAATTCCGTTACCTGATGGGGGAAAGCTGGGAGTTCACCCATTAAGCTGTCATGGGCGGGTCCTTGGGGAACATGGAGATCCTAGTGTGCCTTTATGGAATGGAGTGAATGTTGCTGGTGTCTCCCTGAAGACTCTGCACTCACATTTAGGGACTGATACAGATAAGGAACAGTGGAAAGAGGTTCACAAGCAGGTGGTTGAGAGTCCTTACAAGGTGATCAAACTGAAAGGCTACACATCCTGGGCCATTGGACTCTCTGTGGCAGATTTGGCAGAGAGTATAATGAAGAATCTCAGGCGGGTACACCCAATTTCCACCATGATTAAGGGTTTCTATGGAATAAAGGATGATGTCTTCCTTAGTGTTGCTTGCATCTTGGTACAGAATGCAATCTCAGACCTTGTGAAGGTGACTCTGACTCCTAAGGAAGAGGCCCGTTTGAAAAAGTATACAGATACACTTTGGGGGATCCAAAAAGAGTTGCAGTATTTTTTAAATTTTTTTTTTTTTTTTTTTTTGAGATAGAGTTTCACTCTTGTTGCCCAGGCTGGAGTGCAATGGCACAATCTTGGCTCACTGCAACCTCCACCTCCCAGGTTCAAGCAATTCTCCTGCCTCAGCCTCCCGAGTAGCTGGGATTACAGGTACCCACCATCACACTCAGCTAATTTTTTGTATTTTTAGTAGAGAAGGGGTTTCACCATGTTGACCAGGCTGGTCTTGAACTCCTGACCTCAGATGATTCACCCACCTCAGCCTTCCAAAGTGCTGGGATTACAGGCGTGAGCCACCGCTCCCAGCCAGAGCTGCAATTTTAAAGTCTTCTGATATCATCCATTTCACTGTTTAGGCTACAACAGGATTTTAGTTGGAGGTTGTGCATGTTGTCCTTTTTTCTGGTCTGTGATTACAACAGTAATATTAAGATGGACTGGGAAAAACATCAATTCCTAAAGTTAGAAATAGAAATGGTTTGTAAAATCCTACAGCTATATCCTAATGCTGGATGGTACTAATCCTGCGTAGTCCTAAACTGGTTAGTCTGAAATAGTTCTACTACCTCTGAGGCACCACTGCCAATGCTGCACACGCTGCAGTTGCCCCTTGAGCCAGATGGAGGTTTACCGTGTGTTATATAACTTCCTGGCTCCCTCACTGAACAATGCCTAGTCCAACATTTTTTCCCAATCAGTCACATCCTAGGATCCAGTGTATAAATCCAATATTGCATGTCTTGTACATAATTGTTACAAAGGATCTTATTTTGTGAACTATGTATATCAGTAGTGTACATTACCATAGAATGTAAAAAGACCTACATATAAACAGTGCAACCAACTATCCAAGTGTCATACCAACTAAAACCCCCAATAAACCTTGAACAGTGAAAAAGAATAAAATAAAAATAGAAGAATGGAAAAATATAGATCACACAATCAAAAGAAAGTAGAAGTGGCCATATTGATATCAGATAAAGTAAATTTCAGAACAAATAAAATTACCAGAAACCAGAGGAACATCATACAGTGATAAAAGAATCAATCCACCAATAAAATGTAGTAATCTTAAATGTGTCCGTACCAAACAATAAAGTTGCAAAATATGCAAAGCAAAAATTGATAGAACTGAAAGGAGAAATAGACAAATCCACAATTATAGCTAGAGATTTCAACACCCCTCTGTCAACAACTGACAGAACAACTAGACAGAAAATCAGCAAGGATATAAAAACTCCTATCTATCAACCAACAGAATCTAGTCAGTGTTTATAGAACACTCTAGCCAACAATAGCAAAATATGCATTATTTTCAAGTGCCCATGGAATATGTGCCAGGATTACCAGGTTATCCTGGGTCATAGAACAAATTTAAAAGAATTTAAAAGAGTTAAAATCACGTAGACTGTGTCCTCCAACCAAAATGGAATCAAACTGGAAATCAATAACAGAAAGATAGCAGGAAAATCTCCATGCACTTGGAAACTAAATAACATTCTTTTAAATAATCACAGGGCAAAGAGGAATTCTTCAAGGGAAATTTTTAATACATTCAACTGAATGAAATAAAAATGCAGCATATCAAAATTTGTGGAATACATTCAAGGCAGTACTGAGACAGAAATGCACAGCACTAAATGCATACATTAGAAAGGAAAAGTAACAGATGAATACTATAAGCTTTCACTTCAATAATCTAGAAAAAAAACAAACAGCAAAACAACCCCAAAGCAAGCAGAAAGAAGGAAATAATAAAGAGCAGAAATGAAATCTCCAGGCCCTGATGGCTTCACTGGAGAATTCTCCCAAATATTTATTTTAAAAAGAAATGAAACCAATTTACACATTCTCTTCTAGAAAACAGAAGAAAAAAGAACAGTTTCCAACTCATTTCATGAAGACACTATTACTCAAAACACAAAACCAGACAAAGACTGTACAAAAAAGATAACTAAAGGCCAGTAACACTCATGAATATAAAAGCAATAATTCTTAATGTTAGCAAGTAGAATATAATAAAAGTACACACCATGATGAAGTGGGGCTTATTCTAGGGATGCAAGGTTGGTTCGCTGTTTTAAAATCAAAGACCGTAATCCACTATATTAACTGGCTAAAGAAGAAAAATCACAGGATCATATCAATCAGTACAGAAAAATACTGGAGAGAATTCAATACCCATTTATGATTTAAAAAAAAAAAACTCAAAAAATAGGAATAAGAGAGAACATCCTCAACTTGACAAGGAACAAAACACCTACAGTAAGATTATACTTTAGTAAAAGACTGAATGTCTTCTCTCTAAGATGAGGAATGAGGCAAAAAATATCCACCTTCACACTCTTATTCAACATAGTGCTGAAAGCTCTAGCCAACGCAATATGGCAGCATATGAAAATAAAAGAAATAGATATCAGAAAGAAAAAAATAAGACTGACTGTTCGTTCCTACTTGCAGTAGACATAACTGTCTTTACAGAAAACCCCAAAGAATCTGCAAAAAAAAACTCCTAGAATTAATGTGAGTTCAGAAAGGTTTTAGGATATAAGACAAACATATAAAAATCAACTATATTTCCATATAGTAGCAATGAATACATGAATACCAAAAATTAAAAATGCAATATAACTTAAAATCACTCAAAAAATTGAAGACTTAGATGTAAAACATGTACTATAACTTTTATGTCAAAAATTATTCAATGCCAATTAAAGAAATCAATTATTTAAATAAATGAGGAAACATATCATGTTCATGGACTGAAAGATCCAACATAGTAAAGATGTCAATTCTCCCCAAACTGATATACAGATTTGACATAACTACTATCAAAAATCCAGCAAGATTATTTTATAGATATGGACAAGATTATTCTAAAATGAATACATGGAAAGACAAAAGAACTAGAATAGCTAAAATAAAAATAAAGTAACAGGAATGTGTCTACTTATTTTCAAGACTTATAATATTGCTACCATAATCAAGACTCTGTGGTACTGGTGGAAGGAGAGACACATAGATCAATGGGACAGAATAAAGACTGCAAAAATAGAACCACACAAATATACCCAATTCATTTTTGACAAAGGAACAAAAGCAATTCAATAAAGAAAAGACTGCCTTTTCAGCAAATGGTTCTGGAAGAATTGGACATCTATAGGCCAAAAAAAGATCCTTGACCTAAGTCTCACATCTTATACTGACTCAAAATCGAACAAAGTCCCTTAAATATAAACCATAAAACTATAAAACTTTTAGAAAAAAAAAACTTGGGAGAAAATCTTCAGGATCCAGGGATAGGCAAAGAATGTTTAGACTTGTCACCAAAAGCATGATCCATAAAAGGAAAAAATGATAAATTGGACTTCATCAAAATTTAAAAGTTTGCTCTGTGAAAGACTGTTGCTGAGGGGATGAAAAGACAAGCTACATAATGGGAGAAAATATTTGCAAACCATGTATTCAACAAATGACTATTATCTAGAATATGAAAAGAGCTCTCAAAATGTGACAGTTAAAAAATAATCAGATAAGCAAATGAGAAAATTACATAGACATTTCATCAAAAAGGATATACAGATGACAAATAAGCAAATAAAAATATTTTCACATCAGTAGCCATTAAGGAAATGAAAAATTAACACCACAATGAAATATCTATATATACATATCAGAATGCCTACAATAAAAAATAGTGACAACACCTATCTGGGTGCAGTGGCTCACACCTGTAATCCCAGCACTTTGGGAAGCCAAAGCAGGTGGATCACTTGAGGTCAGGCATTCGAGACCAGCCTGGGCAACATAATGAAACCGCATCTCTACTAAAGATGCAAAAATTAGTTGGATGTGGTGGTGCATGCCTGTAGTCCCAGCTACTCAGGAGGCTGAGGCATGAGAATCACTTGAATACAGGAAGTGGAGGTTGCAGTGAGCAAAGATCATGTGACTATACTCCAGCCTGGGTGACAGAGTGAGACTCTATCTCAAAAAAAAAAAAAAAAATAGTGATAACACCAAATGCTGGCAATGTTAAGAAGGAACTAGATCAAGGTTATGAAAAAACCTCCAAGGTTATGAAAAAACCTCCAAGGTTATGAAGAAACTGGATCACTCATACATGGTTGGTGAGAATGTAAAACGAGTACAAGCCACTCTGGAAAACAGTTTCTCTAAAAACTAAACATACAACTACCATGTGACCCAGCAACTGCACTACCAGGCATTTATCCCAGAGAAATGAAGAGCTATGTTCACACAAGAATCCATATATGACTGTTTATAGCAGCTTTATTTGTTAAAACCCTGAACTGAAAACAACCTAGATGTCCTACAATGGGTGAATGGAGAAACAACTGTGAAATATTCATACCATGGAATACTACTCAGCAATAATATTGATACAATATAACAACTTCGATGAATTTCAAAAAAAAAATGGACTGAGTTTAAAAAAAGAAAAGCCAATCTCACATTAACCTTTTATATAACATTCTTGAAAGGACAAAATTATAGTAATGGAGAACAGATCAATGGTTGCCAAGTGTTGAGGGAGGGAGGAGAGGAGGAAGGGAAGTGGGTGTGACTAAAAAAAAAGGCAGCACAAAGGATCCTTGTAGTGATGGAAATGTACTGTATCTTGACTGTGTCAATGTCAGTATCTTGGTTGTGATATTATACTCTAGTTTTGCAAGATGTTACTATTGGAGGAAACAGAGTAAAAAGTGCGTGGACCGCTCAGTATTATTTCATGTGAATATACAATTAACTGAAAATGAAAAGCTTAATTGTTTAAAGTAACACTATTTGGGGGAGGGGGACTCATGTGGTGTGGAGATGGGAAAAATATGTGTGAGATTGTCAAGTGGACTGTGAGATGTCCAGAATTCCTGAATCTCCCTCTGCTCACCAAATGCCACCCTTTCCTCATTGTTACCACTTCTAAAACTTGCCCTACCCATCCCACATCACCCTTTATGGACAATACT